CTTGGTTTTCAATGCCCATAACGACCTGTTGTAAACGTACTTAATTATAAAAGGAGGCATTTTGCCTCCTTTAACATGGATACATCGTCGTACTTCGTTGAAAAGCAGGAAAAGGGGGCATTTTGCTTCCTTTTATCGCAAAAGGGTTAATCGTGCTTTGATTGTCACAGTAGAGTGTAGCCATTTTTTCATGCTGGATGTCGAGCTCTTCCAACATTTTCTGCGCCCACTTGATCTCATTCGTGTATTTGTGAGCAGCAACCAACTCTGAAGCACACGTATTATCCGTTACACGGCCTTGTTTCTTACTCTGCCAATGCCACACATTGCCATTAAGGCGGAGTGCCCAACCACTGACTGATCTGCTGGTATCGGGGCAACCAGCGTGGTCTGCGTCAAGCTTCACTCCACCATTGTCGATGTCTGCGTCAAGCCTCACTCCACCATTGTCGATATCGATAGACCAGTCCAATATCCTTGGTGGCGCGCAAGTACCTCATGACTCGCTGAGCCTGCTGAAAGTTTTGTCTTGTGTACGCACTTCCATATCTTCCAATGTCCTAACCGCGTTGGCGAGATCGGGCCTCGAACAGTGAAAAAGGTACTGAAGTGAGCAACCATCTCACGGTATGGTATCGCAGGATCATTGATCAGTCTGGGGTCCTTTTCGACACGAAGGGTCGGATCATTTTGCATCTGGGGCGAGCGAACTGGCTTAACTGCAGCCAATCTAAATTTCTCCAACATTCGCTCAATGTATGCCGTCTGGGAAATGCACACCATCTTGCCAGGCAGGTAGTTGATCTATATTCCTAAAATATGCTTGCCTCTGCCAAATCCTTTAACTTGAACTTCTTACCAAGAGCATTCACGACGTCAGTGGTGTCTTGAGGGTCAGCAGCAACGATGATGTCATCCACGTAAACTGTTAGGAATATCTTATTGTGTTTTTCAATTTTCCAGTATACTCCTGCATCGAACGTGCACTTCTTAAATCCAATCTCGATCAAATGTTTGTGCAACGTGTTGTTCCAGATCTGCGAGGCCTGTTTTAAGCCAAACAAGCCCTTGAGCAATCTGCACACTCTGCCCGTGCCATCGTCGTAGCCCTCAGGCTGCTCCATAAAGAGCTCAACACCCGACAGCACGCCGTTCAGAAATGTCGTGACAAATTCGATATGGCGGCAATCTAAACCTAGCAATAACGCCAAGAGCAACATAAGCAATACCGATTCAATTCTCACCACGGGATAATACGTTTCCAGATAGTCAAGTCCATATTTCTGCCGAAATCCCCTGATTGCCAGTCTTGCCTTGCGTCGTTTGCCGTTTCCACGCTCGTCTCGCTTCGTTGCCAATACCCAGAGCGATGTCAAGATATTCACCGGTTTGTCCCGTGTCGGCTTCGGCCGAGGAACCAACTCCCAAGTCTGCTTCTCCATCCATGAATCATATTCCACATCCATCGCCTTTTTCCATTGAGCAGCATGCTCTGTTGCTAGTGCTTCCTGCACCGAAGTCGGGTTCAGCAGATCAGACACAGTCGCAATCATCATGCATTGAAAAAGCGTTTTGGTAATCGTGAAGCTCCAGGGTCATACCGGCGTGGTGATCGACGAGGACGAGTTGACCTACGCAACGGTCTCGTTGTCGCATCACCTTCGTCAGCACTCGATGTGGCGCTACTTCCTCTGCCAGTCCAAAACCTACCGCTAGACCCACTAATCGCACTCGTGCTTGTGCTCCCACTAGAGTTACCACTACTGATACTCGCAATACCGACCTCCATATTTTCATGGTCAACGACATTGACTTTCATAGCTTCACCGCGTGGAGCATATGACCCTTCACTTCCACTGAAGTCGCTGTCACTGTCATCGCTACTGGTATCATCGCTGGCATCGTCAACTTATTCGTCGACAAATTCTTCAGCCATTCCATCGTCCGAATCGAAGAATTCCTCATCAACATCCATCGCTTCAACACCATCCTCAGTCTGTTCCTCTGCCGGTAAAATCACTTGGCTAACAGGTAGAGGTACAAAGTCGATGTGTGCTGGTAATTCAATTTCTTCACCAAAATATCGTTTCCTTATCAAATCCTTTAAGTACTCCGGATCAGCAGCAATATGTTCGTGAAAGACCACATCACGCCGCTCAATCAGGCTTCCCGTGCACAGGTCAAATATACGAAAGCCCAATGACGTCTTCGCGTACCCGAGAAACACACCTGGATCCGATCGAATCTCCAGCTTGCTAGTACGCTTCTTCTTCGGGATGTAGTGAAAGACAATTGACCCACACACATGTAGATCACGAACGTGCGGTTTGGTCTCGTGTAGCCTCTCGTACGGGGTCATACCATTCAGGGCCTTTTGTAGCGCTGATATTGTCTACGTCAACCACAAAACCAATCAGTTCCCCCCATAAACAACATGGAAGTCCAGCCGCTTCAGTCACAGCTCGCACCTTGCTGAATATTGTACCGTTCAGTTTCTCCACTAAGCAGTTTTCCTCTGGCGGGTATGCGTTTGTCGTCAAGAGTTTGATTCCGTGTTTCTTGAGAAACGCAATCAGCGCATTATTAACGAACTCTTTACCTTGGTCGCACGAGAACATCTTGACCACATGTGTCTTCTCCAGTTGCAGAATTAAGTCCATCACATTACCTGCTGCTTCACTTTTATTCTTCAACAAGAAACACTACTTGAAGCGGGACGCTTCATCCTGTATCAATTGAAAGTAGATATTGCCACCCGGGGTCTTTTCTCCAACCAATGCAACATCGGACATCAGACGCGCGCCGCACTCCTTCTGTCTTTTTCCTTGCTGGCGTGTATAAGATCTACGCTTTTGCTTTGTACGCTGGCAAGCAATACAACGAAATCCATCAGTAAAGTCTTTCAATTGAAGCGTCTCCATGCCATCAACCATTTTCAACTGTGTCATCTTCTTCAAGGCTTCAACAATCTGATGTGCAAAACGCATGTGCCACAACAGCAATTTGTTGATCATCGGAGTAGTCGAGATAGAGAGCACAACATCTCGGCTAGCTAGTGGAGTTGCATCCATCCAGTAATGCCTGTTTCTCTTCCTGCATTCCAACTTTACCCCACGGTATCGATCGTTCGTGAAGTAAACAACTCGAGCCTCTGGATCACGTATGAACGGCGTGTCCGGGATCCAGCCCAAGTAATTCTTGGCTTAGAATATTGATTGGTCCACTTGGTGAGAGACGAGTGTCTTCCAAAGTCAGCACGAAGCCACTGTCATTGGTATCCAACACATTTCTTGTCCGGATCTGGACCGTGCCAATACCTGCAGCATGAGAACTGTTTCCTTTCCAATCCTCGAAACACTTATTATCTTCCCGGATATCATCGTGAAATGCGGCTTCACTTGTGCACACATGCATATCACTTTCAGTGTCCAGCATCCACGTTTCACCATATTCAGCAGACGTACATGCCATATTCAGCAGACGTACATGCCATACTCTGCGGCCGTGCAATATTTTCAGATGTCTTCGTCATGCCGATGACATCACTCCTTGTCCATCAACCCACGAATCCAACCTTCCGATTCTTCTTCTCCTTCAATTTCTTTGTTTTCGGCGGCTCACCTGCTTCTGTGTCATCTTCATCATCGCTCTCATCTTTTTTTCGCTGCCTGTTCAGCCTTGAACTTCCTGCAATTGTGACGAAAGTGACCCTTCTTCTTGCAGTGAAAACATTCGCGAGTTTCTTTCCACGCACCACCGCCTTGAGCCTTCTTACCTTGACCGACACGATTTTGATTCTTGCCTTTCGAGAATTTCTTCCCCTTTACTGCTCCAATCTTGCTGCTTTCCTCTTTATTTTTCGTGTCTCCGTTCATCTCTTCATCAGCTTGATCCATTTCAGCTTCACCACGCAGTGTGTTCAGGACACGCTCAAGGTTAGATGGCTCATCGTCGCGATTAACCATCCGCACGACACTTCGATGAGTTCCCTCGACGCCAGTCAATACGATGCTGGCCATGTCCGCATCCGTGATAGTATCGTTCATGTTCTCAAGCTGTCGGCGATAATCCTCAAGGTCTTCGAGGTACTTATCCATGTTCATTCCCTTCTCGAAACGAGCACCTTACAACTTGGCTCGGATGCGAATGCTGTTTGCGAAGTCTCGCTTCGTCTTCTCTCGCTCGAATCCACTCCACATTTCACTCACGCGGGTGAACTTTCCTCGTTCCGCGGGTCAGGATTCTCAGTCCCAATAACTACTAACCAGCAATTGCGTATGTCGAAGATATGACTCTAGTCGCGCTTGGTATAAGTCAAATCCACCATCCAAGTCATATTTCGGTGCTTTGGTTGCCGCCGCCACCTTCCCCACAGCCGGTTCGTCACGCCGGGGTCACGGTGCTTCAGCTGCATCTCGGGGTGCTTCAGCAGCTGCATCGCGTGGCGCTTCCGCAGGAGCTGCACGGGGTGGTTCTCCAGCTTTGTTTAGGGCCGGAGGTGTTACCCATGGCTCGCCGTTCTCTCTGCGCCCAGGTAACCCACGAAACTCCATCATACTTGCCTCTCTGCTTTGGTTTCACACACAAAACGCCTTGGGCTCATAACCTAGGAGAATACAATCCCGCACCCTCGTCACACTTTGCCTGTGTGGTACACCAGGAAAGGAAGCAGTGGCTCAATTGAGGGAAATCGGATAATGATATTGTTTGTTGTTTAAGTAGGGGAAAGCACCGCAAGCCTCAAAACCCCGAGATGTCTTCTGATCGTGTGGCCACAGCCACTCATAGAGCGTGCACGCATGTACGAGTAGTTCTTAGCACGCTCGTATTACTCGCAGCAGAACTCTCTTTCTCCATCAGTCAGTGACAACAATGGTCAACCACCACTCTTTCACTCATGGTACTCGACCATAACTTCTCGTGAACCAGTTAGAACAGCCAAAGTGACCATCGACCGCAGTCATATGCTCGTAGCTATACTATCAGGTCTACTGCAGAATGCGCTTTTGGTTTCATCAAGGGTCGTAATAAATTGAAGAAAAAATCGCGTCAGCATCTCCAGGAGACACAATCAAAGGCCAGGCTTAGCACGACAAGAAACGGAGAACAGCGCAGTTCATAATGGAAATTGAGTACTATTTTGGACGGACAATTTTCCGTTAAAGCAGCTCACGCAAGACAAGTCTGCTGAAAAATCCAAATACGCCCCACGGCAGCCTAATCCCGCCAAATTCATCTTGATGGTAATTAAAAATACAGATCAGCTAGGGCTGCCGAGTCTATGGAAGGGGCTACATCCGGTATTCAACGACAAATTGCTGGAATCTAACTCTGCTTCAGTCGCTCGGTTCAAATGACGGTCAGTGGCTAAGAATTGTCCAGTGGTGCTGAATGAAGTGGAGGAGTATGGTGCCGAATCATTGCTAAAAAAAAAAAAAACGCCAATACAATCGCTAACGAGAGTGGTTAATTAAGTGGAATGGTCTGTCCGAAGAAAGCAGTACGTGGCTACGAGAATGCGAGGTGAAGCACGTTTCTGTCTGACGTGAGCTTCTTGCGGATTTCAAAAACGAGCGTCAGACAGTTTGTTAGCTCTAGGAGGAGGGTTATTCATGCGTCTTGTCGAGTCTACTGTAGGTTAACCTCACGTTCGACGAAGGACAGACATGGGTACGAAAACAGAAAAGGATTCAGCCGATTCGGTCATTTGCCGCACGTGCGGGTGGATTACTCACACGTTTGTGTTGCTATTAGGTTCAATAAATGACCATGGCTGAAGGTTTCCTCGTTCCTTTCAGGCTCCATAAAAATGATTTCTTTCCAACATTATTCTCGAAGTCCTGAAGTCGTCTTCCAACTTCAACTACTTTAAAACGATATCCTACGTACTCAAATGCTTGTTTCGTCGTTTTTCATCTCCTCGCAACCGTTGTTCTTGGACGGCCGTCCGGTGCCATGCAACACGAGGGATTGTAGAGGTGTACCGATGTATTGTCGTAATGAGCGGTCACCGGTGCAAGGTGCTCACTAACGACGAAGGTGACATTGCTGAGGTGGATTGACACTGTGCACGCAGAAGTCTCGTACAGTGACAGTGTCATGTATCGCAATGATGTTTTGTTGAGGTGGACGAACTGATGTTGCGCACAAGAGTGAGTTTGACCATCATTATGTTTAATGTTAATTGAGTTACAAGCAAAATCATCTTCCGTGGTGATAATACGGCTTCGCGAAGACTGAGATTTGAAATATCAAACAGGCTACGGTATCGACACTATTGTGATGGCGTATCGATAAACGTCGGCTACAAAACGAATTAATTTGACTTTGCTTTGGTGCGTTAGATGTATTAGCTCGGCCATTATCAGTCCGATTCATCACTGGGTCATGGCAAGATTTCCCCGGTAAAGTTTAACACAATCTAGGTTGAGTTCCAACCAATGAACCTTGCTGTTACTATGTACCTCCTATACCTATTTTGCAGCCACAGAGTCTGTTTTGTTGAAACTGCGTTTGAAATATACTAAAGTATGCTTTAAACCGTTGTTATATGTAACCCTTTCGCGAGTATCTTGGCTAAAACCAAGACAAGATGTTTTGTTTTTTAAAAGGTTACACTTTTCGACCTCTTACAATATCACTGTACATGTACTAGATTTGGATCATCTGTTATAAAACAAATAATGGAAGATATTACGATAATGCAATCAGTTACAAGCAATTCACTTGATTAAATTATGCCAAGATGATTACGAATCGTACTGAACACGCTTTTTCGAATGACCAAGTTTACGGACATACTTCTTTTCACGTAATATCTGTTTGCGGGCATATTTCTATTCAAGTAATATATGTTTACGGATACAAATATATGTCCGTAAGCTTGTACATTCGTGTTTTTAATGCATGCCTACTGGTTCTATGCTATCACAGGGAAATGAACACATGTGAGTACAGATCATATTTTGGTAGCAGCCTTTGTGTACTCATACTGAACGTAAATAAAATTTTGGATTCCACCACGAAACATTTGCCAAACCATAATAATGCCTGTGAGTAACGTTTTCGACAACAAACCGACGACAACAATGCAGGCGATCTCACAGAGTTCATTTGGCAAAATTCTTCTCCGCCCCACAACCGAGCTACTTAACTACATCAACTGGACAAGTCAGTACTTTCGCATCTGACCTACCAAGGCATCATGAGGTCGATGAACGTCGTGCAAATGTTTGCCGTTGTCGTCGCGCTAGTAGCTACTAGCTCCGCGGCTAGTAACAGCAGTCCCACGATTGCCTCGGACAGATCGTCATCCGAGCTGAAGTTTCCTTTCTCAGCAGCCGAAAAGACCGACAACAACGAGAAACACTTCCTGCGCTCTCTCAAAGTTCCCGACAAGCCAGTGACCGATGAAGAAGAAGAGCGAGTTATCAACTTTTCCTTCTTGAAGAATATACAGAAGAAGCTACCTGGGACTGCTGCATACAAGGCAGCAAAGGCTGCGAAAGCGGCCAAAGAGAAGGCGGCAATTGTCGACGTGCTCAAGATGTCGGATAGCAGAAAAGACCTTCTTCATTCGCTGTTCAGACAATGGGACGCGGAGAAAAAGAATCACGTGAACGTTGCTGACGATGTTTTCAAGATAATGAAAGACCATGGTTGGACTACAAAACAGGCCAACGATATTGGGGTAGAGTATTTCTCTTTTCGCTCCAGTCTATACGTCTAAATGATGAAAACTGCATCCACAGTGGGATGAATTACATTATGCAAACAACGTTTGTTGTAGTAATGACTTGGCCGGACTGTCAGGAGATGTATTTCGTGATTGCTTACTTTGCCACATATAATTCGGAGCATTTGCGTATATTCTAATTTTTGCTGAGAAATAATTGTACTCGTTTAGCCTTCCTACTGACAATTGAATTACATTAAGACGCCTTTTATATTTCTTTTCATTTTTTGCGGACGCTCTTAGATAGACTATTTTCCAGGTCGTACACTGGTCTGCTCACATGATTGGGTCTGAAGAACCCCTAGATTAAGACGACCCAAACATCATGCCAGACCCGTTCTAAGTTGCTCATTTTTCAGCAGCCTGTTCAAAATAACTCCGGAAGTGACAGTGTTAATCCTTTGATGCTGTTACTTCACCGAATACCATTATGCATGGAATTTCTGTTAAACAGCACAATGAGGAGCTCCTTCTTGTTATTGACTGTATTGGTGGTAGCTGACGTCGAACGTAGCTAATATGTGTCTAACTAAGGGTATCATGAAAACTAAATGAAAAGAGAAAATAGCTAACTTGTTCAACCAAAACGTTTCGATTTATTTTAATTAGAATATTTTTTTCTTGTCAAACGAACCTGTCGGGTTCTCTGGAGAAAATGTACATGCAGTTTGTTAATTCATATCGATATACAAAGACAATCGTGCAGATTTCAATGGAGAGATAAGCTCCTTGGTCGGAATCGATTTGATTCCGATTACCGTTACCGTACTATGGATTGAAGTAATACGTGCCCCACGAGGTTGACATCAGCTGCGCGATTCGGGAGCCGCTAAAGCGTCATTCATAGTCGAGCCACTCACTAGGATTTTTGGTCCACCCATAACATGGCTTGACAGTATTTTTGAATGGTTTGCAGAAAGTGGAGGGTGTGAACCAATCTCAATTAATACGTCAATGCATTGACTCGCGTTTATGATTCGGTGGCCTTCAACAACAAATTTCGTAGTTCTATTTGTATATAGCTTTATAAAGTTCTTTGGATTTTAATCCAGAGTTGTTACAACGATCCGAACAGTGATATAAATTATTTAATGATGGCACCAGACGACAACTACGAATACTACACGTATATTGAGAAAGGAAGCAACGAAGTGCTGCATAGCACAGCCCACATCTGATTAATGTACGCGCTGGTGTACCGATATCATAATGGTTCCAGAACAGGGTTCCTAGAAGACATAAATGCACCCACTGGTATACTGATATCGTACGCTCGTTTCCTTTGAATTGAGGATACTTTAAAATTTTATCCCTTTCGAGGTACGAGGCCGCATTTTCCTATGCAAAGAAATGTAGGAATCAGTCTCTAAAATGTCGATTTTTTTATTCGTCACATCGGGTTGTGATGATATAGCATCATGCGAGAACAGCTGTAGTTTACACCATACCTACACTCAGGCTCATTAATTCAAGATTTTTTTCCGTTTCCCCCTATTAGTTTATTAGAGGTACCAGGAGCAAGTTTATAAAGGGATGGTGAGCGACATCCTTTTCTTTTATTATAAGTGAGTACAAGAGGAATTGGGCTGGTAGTGTCATATTTCGCGAGGTCATTATTTTTCGGGTCGATAACCCCCAAAGGTAAGTATCCTGCTTCGGTGAAATCGTGAACCCTCCCCGTAATATGCTGGGAAAGACCACTTCTTGGACCTTTAAATTTCAAAGAGCTAAACTAAGTAATATACGAGGACAGTGGACAAATGCAGTGTATACTAACAAGAAAAGAGGAATAATATGTTGTCGATACCACGCCGGCACTTACTATCTTTTTTTACTATCTCCCGCACCAACAGTAAAATAGACACAATAACATTGGTTTTCATTTGTCGACAGCATATTATGGTGAGTTTGTACTATCAATATCTTCGCGCCCGCCATCAAGCACCATCCCGCAGAGGGTCTAAATACCGTTACCAGGGCATCACAAAATTTCTGTAGAGTCTGAATTGCTCGTTCACAAGCTTCAACCCCTCTTCAAAGGTTATTTTTCTATCGCCGCACATGTGCTGTGCTCCACCCTGCTGCCTTCAGTCTACGATCGTTTTTTTTTTTTTTTTTTTTTTTTTTAGTCTGCATTTATTTGATGCGACTATTTTTTTCACGGAAAGCAGACTTGAAGTACTGCACACTTGTGATTTCTTCCGATTGTCTCCAGGTTTGGTTTTACAGTCATATTTGATGCAGAACTTGCATGCTACAGCAAGCATTGCAAACATTTCAGAATGTCGTTCATAGATTTTTAAACGATACTTGAAATCGTTTCCACGCTTGAACGATGTCGCCAACGCCCGTGGCATGTCCCTACTTAAACACGTGTAGCTAGAAGTCTTCTGTCGGTGCTCATTTGCTTTCGAGAAAGTAAATAATCACCATTATCAGTTGGAAGATGACTTCTGAAAGCTTCTGATAGCATGCCATTCACTCTGATATGAACATCTCATAACCGTTTGCTCTTGAATGTGCATCGGACAAATATTTTCGCATCAAATTGGCGATGTGTCGACAGTGTCGGCACAGGACGTATTACCCCTTTGCCAGTTTTAGCGAGGGACGGTCGGAGAACTTAATAGAGGTACTACGTGGAAAATGGGTCGATTTCCCTCAATTAATGAGGCCTGCTTACCTTGGAATTCCGAAAAATGAGGGATTGACAGTCCAAACGGATTAATTCTACGGTACTGCGTGAGCGTAACCTGGGCTAACATTCGTACAGCATTCTAGTGTTCAGTGCACCAGATCATTTTCTCTGTACAGTGCGATAGTATCTCCGTACTGACACTCAGTACCGATGTTATGCAATGTGAGTACAGCGTGTTTGTACAGTGTACCAGTTATGCGATGCGAGTATCGTGTGTTTTTGCCGAGTACACTATGCCAATGCGATTTAAAAGTCAGCCAATTAGAAGCAGGGACACACACAACAAACAGAACACCAGCGTCAGTGTTTTGCTAGTATGACAAAGAGTTTTTATGATGCAAAGTACGGACAACCGGGCATTTGGGACAGGACAAAACCATCTCAATGTGTAGGCGGCGAGGTAGGCGAGCGGCTGGAGCTTACCTTCTCCAATTCAGCACAATACTGAATTGCAATAGTAATACTGGCAATACAACCACGAGCAATGCTAACATTTGCAACAATTACTGAAATACACGAGAACTTATATTATTAACGTTCAGGTTCAGCTATCAACGTAGACACCAGTACCCAGTACCCACTATGATGAAAACACGGCAGGCGTCGGCGGGGTCAATCACGTCGCTGGAATATATTGATCACACTCTGAAACTTTTTCACACGGTATCGATAATACTAACAGGATTGTAGCATATACATAGAGTTTATTTTCCTGTTCACTGCATTAATTGGAATTAAAAAGTAGTCATTAACGTTCTTTTTGCTTTTTCTACCATACTTTGCTGGTGATACGGTCGTCTGTTACAATCAATAGTAGCTACATACGTCGTCTAAAAGACGATGATATAGTTGCTGTTGTAGCTAGAGGTTCTCCCATTTCTCTTCGGAGTTGGTATTAACAATGCATTAGGGATTCAGATTGCCCGACGATGCCTAGAGAGCAAAAAGCTGCAACAGTTATCTTGATTTGAAAAACACAGTCAACCATGTAGAGGGCTGTGATAGTGCAAGATTTGTTATTTCTGAAGTCCAGCAGTTTGAGCAGCAATTTCAATCTTGTTGTTGTGTGCAAGGTATTGCACAATTGATACAATTTCAACTTATAGTTTTGACAAGAGCACCAACAATCCGATTTCTTATTGCAAAAAAATAAATTTAATAGTATCTTTTCAGGCCCCTGAACTAGAGGCACAAGAAGCGAACGTGGAAGATTTGCCCCCCCCCCCCCCCCAATAATTTGGTAGCCCTTATTTACCACTTCCTTTACTCTTCCTTATTGAGGTATTTGGAAGGGGTAGGCTTTATATCTATGAATGTGTTCCCTGGGGTGAAAACCGCAACCAATGCATTTTTTGTAGAAAGGTGGGACGACTGGTCTGTGCAAGTGGAAGGGAAAATCAGATATATCAGATGAACCTCTATTCAATAAATGAGCGGTCACTGTCGCGAGGGTTGTTTTTATTTTAACTGCGAAGGACTGTTCCAAATAGCTGCGGCTCAAGTTAGTTCAGAACCCTTCTTTTGCGAGAAGAATTGCGTTTTCCGCCGGCCATCCATTCCTGCTACCAGGAGGGTGATGTGCCCTGATACCCTGATACATTAAAAGTAAGAGTAGTAAATTGAAGTGCCTACGTTCAGTGTTATCGTTACCTAGGTGAAGGCGACCAATATGCTACCAACTTCGACCGCGCCAGGGACTGTATCAAACGTCGCGATACGTTGTAGGGCGTGTGTTAGGAATATATGGACGTGCGGTTCGTCGATGGTATACGCAGTTCGAGGAGACTGAATATGTGCTACCAAAGGAGAGAGAAGCGCGTCCGGTGTACCCTGTGACTGCCCTATCGGTTGTGGCTTCTTACGCTAAAGACCACCTCTGCAACGACGTCGAAGAGCTGCTGGCAGAGGTGGAACGACGTTTTCCTGAGTAGTGGCGAGGTCTTTCAATGACATGCGTACTTTGCCTGCCCCGGTTCGAGCTGAATTTCTCACGAAACAGCGTTGAAAAAAAAACCGCGGTTTCAAAAACCTCGTCGACAAATGCGCCAGGTATTTCGTTACATGACCTGGTTTTAATGTTTTTTGCGGGTTATATCTAGCGCACGTGTGCATCTAAATAGCCACGTTGTGCACTCCGTCTTTTAGCCCTTTTGTTCAGTTACTTCGTCAGGAAGTTTTTGGGCATGTAGTGGCACACGGTGCCGTACAACCGGCCCGCTTAGTGATGATGTTCCTGCTGGTGATGACTGTCCCTGTTATGGGCCTCGGGTATGCGCGCGTTTACGAGGAAGCGTTA